TTAAATTTGCCAAATTGAAAAGTTTAAGATTGAATTGGTACATGTACATAAGATCTAAGACCTTTTTGGTAATTTTTCCATAACATTTAGGTCGAGCAATCTAACCTGAGTCATCGTGTCCCTAGCCATTTTTTTGTCAAAAGTAATATTTTATTCATATCTCAAGATGATACGTGAGAGGTTCAAAATAAAGTAAATCCCAAACAGTAAAGTATAACAATAAATACACTCCCATCCCATCAAAATATATCTGTCTTTGCATCCGGATATCGCATCGTTATAAGTAATGAGCACACACAGGAGGCGGTGTACACTTAGGTTCAGCGTCTTCAAATCATCACTGGAGACGCAAAAAGCAAGATGAACAAGCTCCCGGATTTGCATTTAGATCAGGAAACGTTGAATGAGTACGGAAACGCCTTTAAGGAACTCCCATATCTAAATCTAGATTGGGAGAGAAGAACTCCCATATATAGATATAGATATAGATCGGGAGATAATAGTTTCCAAAACTCAAAAAAGCTATATAAGTGCTTCAAGTGCAGCATGAACTCATTATATTCCTCTTCGATCCTATCGAACATTTTGGTTTGAAGGATCTGAAGCAGCGGGTTGATTTCTAATGATGTAAGTAAAAAATATGTCCAACAAGTAAAGAAGAGCATCACAGCAAACAAAGAAAAAAACAAAAAAAAACTAGATGAAAATAATGAAATACTTCTAAATCAGATCGTGAGAGAAAATCTCAATTTAAGTTGAGAAGATAGGGTCTCTTTGGACCGAGAGTTATTTATGGATCGAGGGATCTTGGAGTGGAAGAGAAAAAACGGAACCAGAGAGATGCGGAATAGAAGAGAAAGTGGCTAGGGTTTAAAGTAACGGGACTCCACGTGTCCCTAGCTATGGACGTGCCATCCTCTAAAACATCTATAGCCCTCACACGACTTTAAATTATCAATCCTAGCAGGATCATGTCGTGAACGTTCTTAACATGGCACGTGCATATTACTTACTATTCCCGGATTTAAGCCCTCGAGCGACCCAACACTGCGTCGAAAGTGTTCCCAATCTTGCACTTTTTTCCACGTCTCTATGCTTCATCATCACTTCATTTTCATTTGCAAGTTGACACAATTCATAAATCAACTGCTGTCTATTCATAAATTAGAACGATTTGGCGTGCATTTATGGGCATGCCCCGTCAAGATCTGGTCGATACGTGCTGTGCGCTATATAATCCCCTCCGACAGGCTCGTTGACCTGCGCATTTACATGAAGGCCACGTACGTGTTTGATGTCCAACTTCAGTTTTCTTGTTCTGTAAAAATCAAATATATTAAAAAGAAGGTCAAACCCTAGCTAGCTTCGCTATCCCATGGTTGACAACTTGCCTGTAATGTTTCTTGTGAAGCCGGCATACCCCTATTCCATCGCTGACTTGTTCGAGCATACGGCAAACGATGCCCTATTGGGACATGGTCAGCACGTCTCCAAGATTCTTGCCCTAAAATGGAAGTGTTGACATTACTTAATTTACAGTAGATACGATCTCTCAATTAAAAATAGAGCTTGGCAAGGAAAAAGGACCCACAACATGTTATATGATATTGTACTACACGGTAGGAGAAATTTATTTATGTTTATGAAAAATGACACAAATGGTCATTGAATTTTGGCTAAATGTGTAATTTGATCCATGAACTTTTGATTTGTTCAATATAGTTTCTAAATTTTATTTCAATGTGCAATGTGGTCCATGAACTTTTCGTATATGTTCAATCTAGTCTTTGAATTATATGAAAATATTCCATGTTATCCTTGAACTTTAATTAATGAAATGATTCATTGGGTATTTTTATATAACCTAGAGACTAGATTGAACATTTACACAAATTTCAGGAACCACGTTGAACAAATTAAAAGTTCATGAACCATATTGCACGTAGGGACAAAGTAGAAGGATCACATTGAACAAATTAAAAATTCACAAATCCCATTACACATTTGGTCAAAATTCAATGACTATTTGTATAATTATCCCTTTATGTTAATGTGAGACTTTCTTTTTATGTTACAATGGCAGGATGACGATGCTGCCGGCTAATAAACCCAAACTTTGAAAAACTTAACCTCTTGGGTCTAAAGAAACGAGAGGCATCGAAAACTTAGTTATAATTATGCCCTAATCATCCTCACATTTTATATAGGAACAATACTTTCCATTTAGGGTTAGAACCCGTGATGGTCTATTGATTACTTTTTGTGGGGTCTTGCCAATAACACGGGCGGTGAAATGAATATTTTGAAAAGTTCATATTATGATTGTGGAGTCAATTGCTTGAAAAAGATCTTGGCCATATAATGTAAATGGCGAAAAATATTCTAATTGCACGAGTCAAAGGTCTGAACTAATCGGTTCATGAGATTTAACAAAGTCGTTTAGGTCATCGGATCTGCATACCCAAACTCTTGCATTATCGAAAAGCAAAATATCTTGCCTAGTCCCAATATTGTTTTCATGCGGAATGAAAAAGGTACGTACCTCACATGCCCAACCTCTCCAATGTTATGGCTTTAACTACGTGGGGGAAAACAAGGGAATATATCGCATCTATAAAATCATGAGAATAAGCCAAAGTTGCGATGTCTCCAACCTAGGCAAACAAAATTATTCGACATTTCCTTTTCTTTCAATGAGAATTATTAATCTCTTTGAATGTCATGCGTGATTCGTGCATATATCTCATGTTACAAGTTACAACTATAAGTGAGGAGATACAAGGGTTTGGAGTTTCATGCATGATTGGCTGTGAGGAAGTGTTAAGAATCATATTTGGTACCTCATTGAATTCATATTACACCGCGTGGTGTGTGCAATCGCTTAATTTGAAATTTGAGTTGTTACCTTCGAAAGAAAAGAAGAAGAAGAAGAAGAAGAAGAAGAAGAAGAAGATGATGATGATGATGATGATGATGATAACCACATTGCTCTTGATTTAACTTGTTTCTTTTCAAAAAGCACATATGTCCCGTCCTTAAACGTTTGTAGAAACCAAAGTTCCACATTACGATAGCCAATAGTCATTAAATAATGTAAAATACACAGGTAAAAAGCTTCATCTAGTAAAGTTTACTTACCGAGAGATACGAGAAGATCATATTGTGTGCTTTAACCGGTAGGTCGGGAAATAAAAATATCTCACTTTTCTCGCATGCACTCAAACTCCGTTTGTTTTGTGAAAAATGAATTATTTAAAAATTACTTTCCAAAAAAAGATCACTCGTATCACTTGAAATAATTAGTCAATAAAAAATATTTTTATTATTCATGATAATTTATGTCTGAATATTTTTTTATATGCTGTCATTTAGGATGATGAAAATAGACAAGACATGCAAATAAAAAATCAAGAGAAAAATACGTAAAAACAAAAATAAAAAGCACTTGATCATGTAGACTAGGAATGTCATTATCATTCGATATCATGCGTGCACGAATCGAGTTAGGGTACTAGAAATTTTATATTTTCTTTCTCTAGGAATGGGGGGTACAAATGATGACATTGACATGGCATCTTATTTTATGTTGAAAAGCGAAGTAAATGTTGGTCCATTCTCCTCACCAACCAAAAGGGTCAGGAGTAACTCTAAGACCACCTCGAACATGTACACTTTCCATTCCATGGATTCGCACGGAACTCCTCCTTTCTCCTAAATGCCCAACTCCCCCACAGCTCGATAGTGTTGAACTTTCCAGTTAAATTTATATTGAGACAGGGAAAAAAAATCCCGAGTTAAAATTGATGTTCGATGCCGCCGTAAAATTCAAAACGTGGTATCCGTTGCTTCCAAATCAAACGCCGATGTCCAAATTCAGCGATTAATTCGATTATCGCACGATTGACAAAGTGAGTGAAAACAATTTAGGAGATGATGGTTTCTAGAGTCGCATCACTCTAAAGTAACGTATACAACATAGTGATAATAACACGAATAGTCTCTATAATTTGGCCTAAATGTACAATGTGGTATCTAAACTTTTAATTTGTTCAATGTGTTCCCTGAACTTTAGCCTCATATGCGATGTCGTCCCTCAACTTTTAGATTGTCCAATGTAGTCCTCAAACTTTTGGTACATGTTCAATGTCATCATTTCATTAATTCAAGTTCAGGTATAACATCAAACATTTTCACATAGATTAAACATGTATAAAAAATTTAGAGACTACATTGAACATACTGAAAGTTCAAGAATTGCATTAGTAAAGGTGAGCATGATCCGAATGGGTGGTTTCCAACATGGATCCAGGAATCGCCCACTAAGGACCGGTTCCGAAAAATTAGAATCGGAAACCGCCTGTTGGTTCCATAAGACTAGTCCCATCAAGCTTTACGCAAATGGAGGTGACCGAGAGCAAAAGAGAAGAGGCGATGAATCGTCGGAGGTGCGGCTGTAAGTTGATGGGAGTTAAGAATCGAGGCTGTGTTGAGCTTGAGAGTTTGAGACAAGGAGTGAGAGATAGAGAGATGATTTATGAAAGTGAGATGAGATGATCACTCAATTAATGGGCATTGAGATTAGAGATTTTAGGATTTTCATTTTTCTTAAAATGTTTTCTTTTTTTTGGTTGGAAATATTTCTACTGGTCCTGTCCGGGTGGGTGGTTCTATGCCTAGAACCTGGAACCAAATCGGTACTCACCAGCTTTAGTAAATTGAAATCGGGAACTGGACCGGTTTCTCACGGGAATTGCTAGTTCCGGGCCAGTTCAGTCCGGCTGATTCCTTTACACATCCTTATGCATCAAAGATCATATCGCACGTTGGGTCAAAATTAAGGGGCCATTTGCGTCATTTTCCCTACTATATATGTTCCGATGAAAATGACGGCTTTACCCCTCCATCAATAAGCTTGGGGGGGAAGGAAACGGGGTGTTTCCCCCGCCTCAGGCGGTTGCACTTCAAAAGTCCGTTCCGCGTGAACCGGGGAAACGCAGTTTTCACCCTCGTCCTCGTCGTCGTCCTCGTCGTCCTTCGTCTTCGTCGTCGTGGGAGTGAGAAAATCGAACTCTCTGTAATGCACCAGACTCCTCAACCCCTCTCGCTTTCCCAGATCCCAATACCGTCATCAGCCCAACAAAACCCGGCATTTCTCTCGTTAATCCTCCTCCCTCTGTCCCTCTCTTTCTACCCCATTCACTGTTCAGCTTTAACGATACCATCATCTCTCTCTCTCTCTCTCGAGCTCCACAGTTCCCCCTCCATTCAAATTCTGCACCCCCCCCCACGCACTGATCTCCAAAACCCTAGCTCCCCCCACATTCGATTTCCCCACCTCAATTCACCTCCCCCACCACCATTTACTCTCTCTCTCTTTCTCTCTCTTCCCCTGCGCTCGCGCGGCGTCCGTACGGTCGCCCGAGCTCGAGGAGCCAGCCAGCCGCTCCTTCTGGGTGCGGGGACAAAAGGGTAGCTGCGGGTTTGAGCCAAATGTTGCTGTTCTGAGGGCCGCCGCCACCCCCGATGGGCTCGGCGAGGCCGTGGTGGAAGTTGAGCTCCTGGGCCTCGTTACCGCAGCAGCAGGGCGGCAACGACGGGGGCGGGGGCGGCGGCGGGGGGAGCGGTGGCAAGTGCGGCGATCTCAAGCAGGCATTCTGGAAATCGGCGTCGAAGAAGAGGAGGGTGTCGGGGTCGATCGTGTGCGGGCTGATGCTCTTCGGTTTGGGATTGATCTCGCTGTTCACGGGTCACGTGGCCTCTGATCTCGAGTGGTGGAACTCCCAGCGGCTGGTCAAGAGGAGCTTGTACTCCAAGCTGGTAATTGTTCTTTCTTTCTCTCCTCTTCTTGCTCTGTCTTTTGGAATCGATATTCGTTTCAAGCTTTGAGCTTCCGTGTTCGTACCCGCTGAATTAGAAGTGGAAAGAGGAGTATTGGGTCTGTGGTTTTTGAGAAAATATCGTAAATTGTCTGCTTCTGTACATGTGTTTTTCTTCTTTTTAATACGCAATTTTCGGTCTTGCTGATAATGATGCGGATGTGTTAACTGAAAAGGATGTTATTATCAGTCTTCTAAGGATGAAAGAGTCCTCCTTTGTGATATGCACATTTTACCAAATCAAAATTGAGACACCTTTTTTTTTTTATGTGTGCTTGCAACTGCATTATCTCTGTAGTTTAATAGCCTGGTGCCTATTTTTGACCTGCTATGATTTAACGAGTAATCGTGTGAATGTGCAGGACGGTGGTCACCGTACTCCCATTGATATATGGAAGTCAAAAGATGCAAATTTCTACTACGGATGCAGCGAAAGGGGTTCTCATTTTTCAGGTGAGTAGATGTGTTTGCATGTTGTTCCTTTCAAAAGATGCTTTTTCTCCGCTTTCGAATTCAGCTGTTTTCTCTCTGTTACTTCCTATTTGATTTTGTTGACATACAAGAATCAGTTACTTATTGAAGACTAGATTTCCATGGAATGCAGTTACTCGTTCTCAAATGTTGTCATTATATGTGCTTGTCATTTTTCTCAGGTTCCTTTTAGTTCAGGAATATATAAAATTGATCCTCTTATTGTCCTTCCTTTCTTCTTAGGTCTTGCCTAAGCTTCATGTTTTGACATTTATAGTTTAATGCTGCCTGCATTTGAAGTTAAGTCTCTCTTTGAGGAGTAATTGTCAGCCATAGTTATGCCTTTTGTCTCTGAGGTACACTTCGTTAGTATTCCGGTAGATCAGCTGGTCCTCGAGTAGTTTTTGAGTTCTTTACATTTTGTTAGTTATCTCCATTATGCAAGATATACTATGGAAATTGCGCCTTGTATGAAGAAGAAAATGATCAAGAATTAGATGTCTTACTCATTTTGGGTTGTCTCAATCTTATGCCGCTGTATAAGTTGGCACTATTCTCAGAAGGTTGCTGATAGTTAAGCCTTTTGCATCTGTCTTCTCCTTGATAAATTTTCATTGCCCCACAGCAATGATTTCCATTTTCCACGAATCTGGAGCAGTATATGAAGTTATCTTTTGGCGAAACTGATAATACTCAACCTGACTCATTTGATGGGTTTGCTTTCTGCTTCAAGTATGCCGTCTTTCATTCTGTCTAAGAAATCATAGAGAAAGTGTGACAGGGGGTCTGAGCAATGATAATTTCCTGATATGCAATACTAAAGATTAGTTCCAGTAGTCATTCATCCCATTTTTACAATAAATCTAAGAAGTTATGCATCTTTTGTGCAACTTTTGCTCTCTAGCTCTGATGATTTGTGATTGCAGCTGCTGTCCGTGAACGGCATTCTAATGGTTATCTGCTAATTGCAACTAGTGGGGGGCTTAATCAGCAGAGAACAGGAGTAAGTGGATAAAGGATATTTCTCTGGCTATACTGTTCCATTTTTTGCACAAACAGTGTTTTTTTTCTTGTATATATCTCAATGGTATCATAAATCTCATAATATAACATCTCTCTCTCTCTCTCTCTCTCTCTCTCTCTTTGTGACTTGGCATCATCTGCTTAGCCATTTCTTTGTTGAGTTCTGTTGAGTGTTGTATATCTTGTTGAACAAGGGAACTTCTTCAGTGTGAAAAATGAAAACTGTTTCCTAAAATAACTACTTTCTGTCATCAGATAACAGATGCTGTAGTTGTTGCACGAATTCTTAACGCGACGCTGGTGGTGCCTGAGCTGGATCATCAATCGTATTGGAAAGATGATAGGTCTGTTACTTAAACCTCTGTATTAGCCCTTCAAGAAATAATTTAGACCAGCTGTTACTTTATATCTCACTAAGTTCTAAAAGCTCCTCACTTTGCATGCAGTGATTTTGTCAACATCTTCGATGTAGATTGGTTTATCTCCTCCCTCTCGAAAGATGTTACTATTGTCAAAAGAGTACCTGATAAGTTCATGCGAACGATGGAGAAACCACCATATACCATGCGTGTCCCACGGAAATCTGCACCTGAATATTATTTAGATCAAGTTCTTCCCATTCTCTTGAGGAGACGAGTAAGGAAACTTTTTTCTGTTATGATCGTACTTCATTAACGACTCTATGGCACAAATCTTTGGCTTTAATTTATTAGTTACAGAGCGTACACATTAAAGGCAACAGCCTCAGATTTTTTCCATTTAGATTTGAGAGCTCTTATCGTGTATCAAATTATCATGGAGTCCTTAACCTAAGTTTCTGTTCTCTCCTGTAATGAGGAATTAAGACTTTGGAAATCCTGCAGGTTGTGCAACTGACAAAATTTGATTACAGACTTGCAAATAACCTTGATGATGAGATGCAAAAACTGCGTTGCCGAGTGAACTATCACGCACTGAGATTTACAAAGCCGATTAGAGAACTTGGTCGGAGACTTGTAACAACAATGAGAAAGATGGCTAAACGTTACATTGCGATTCACTTGAGGTTCATCCCTCTTACTAAAATGTGCCATTTCATCATTCCTTTGCTGCATATTTTTTGTCTTCCGTATTGCATTTGGATCGAGACCATCTGCATGGAAAGCATTTTGAGTAAAAGTTGTTGGGCCTGCATTAATTGCTGTTGATAATATACAATTAGGTAGCAATGATGACTGAATGAAACCAGTTATCTTACATCTCCTTTACAGTAAATAATCGCCTTGCCTTCACTGCTTCCTTGACGTCAGATGCCGCTGTTGTGATTGTTTATGCAGCAGAGGATGTGCAAAGTGTCTAAGCTGCTGAGTTTTTCAAAGTGAATTTTTCTTTATTATATTAAACCCCTTTGGTACAATATTATTATTTGGAAATTTTTTATATGAATTGTGGGCTCTTTGTATAGTGGAGATAGTTGCACGTAATGACTGCAGTACCTCAAAGTGACGTGCGTGAAAGGGATATAAGTCTGGAGCTACCTCGGGTTTCGATTCACAGAGCTCTTGATACTTGCTTCTGGTGTAGCGCAACCATACTGTTGCATCCTCTTATTAACCAAGAGATAATCACTTTGTTTTCTTCCCAAGTTTCTGTCCACGAGCCATTTGCAGTTTGGAAACACACCTGGATCTCCATCAACCATTGTCAGGCCCTAAATATGGAATATACAGGCGTATCTTGAAGTTCTTTCTCAAATATATAAAATAAAGAAAAATAAAAGGAAAGGACAAAATATGGTTTGCAGAACTTAACTTTTCGAGTGTTGGGAAGTGGCATCTTGAATTTTTTTTCTTATTATTTGGAGATCTTTGCTCTGCTTTCTTGGTTGCCTGCCTTATTGCGCTTTTATGCCATATCATAACACCTGTGAATGGTTCTAAATTCTAATACATCTGTAATACCTTCTCAGAGGTCAGTTTTTTAGTATCTTTGCCTCATTCGCTTGCCGGTGGTTGTGGTGGCCACTTTGATGCTTATTTATAGGATGTGTCATGGTGGTGTTGCATCACGCAATGAAGGTCATGAGAAAGTTAGACTAACATTATTGTATGCTTTAAGTATATCGAGTTTGAAACAAAGTATTCTTACTCTGCCCGAAATTATTTCCGTCGCAGGTTTGAACCTGATATGCTAGCATTTTCTGGGTGTTACTATGGTGGTGGAGATAAGGAGAGATATGAGCTTGGTGAAATAAGGAAACGATGGACAACTTTACCTGTGAGACTTCTGTCCCTTATAACTAGAAATTTTCATGTTTAGTTTGTATCTCAACTGAAAAAGTGATTCAATACTTTATTCCACATCTTATTTCCAGTCTAGGGTTTCCTACGGCTCATGTGATTTACTACACATGCTGGCACAATATCGATATGTTAGCAGTCCTCTTTCTCATTCTCCGTAGTTATCTATCCCATTTTACAATTTGACATCTTTTTCATTTTTCCTGAGCAGGATTTGAGCCCTGAGGGAGAAAGAAAGCGGGGAAAGTGTCCACTTACTCCTCATGAGGTGGGATTGATGCTGCGAGCTCTTGGTTTTTCAAATGATACATACATCTATGTTGCATCTGGAGAAATATATGGCGGCGAAAAGACTCTGCAGCCTCTCAGAGAACTCTTTCCAAATTTTTATACAAAGGAGATGATTGCAAATGATGATCTGAAACCCTTCCTACCATTTTCTTCCCGATTGGCCGCAATTGACTACATTGTCTGTGATGAGAGTGATGTCTTTGTTGCAAATAATAATGGCAATATGGCCAAAATTCTTGCAGGTAGAAGGTGAGCAGTTATGACCCAACTTTAGCAAGATGTTACTAAACTACTCTCTTTTGAGTTTAAAGAATTAGTGACTTTGATTTAATGTCCTGTCCAGCATATGAATTGTTGAATGTGAGAGTCCAATGATAGAAAAGGATAAGACAGGTGCAGAAACTTATCTGATATGGGAACCAATGTCAAGTAATTCATTTTTTCTTACCAAATCTCCTGATGGAAGATATTTAGGATATAATCTTGTGTCCTTAATCTATGAGGTCAAAGTAAAAGAAGCCTACAATATACACCCCAGTAGTAGTGGCAGCCTTGAAATGGAAGCTGTCTCCTAACACTGTCTATGGCTTTATTGCCATCTTCTTTAATCTTGTCAATAGAAACATGAGTTGGAGCTGAAACTCTTCTTGAAAGTCAATTAGACGTTAAGTTCCCAAAAACATGAGTTTGAGTGAGGTCCTGGAAAGTCAATCAGATGCTTTTTTTGGTCAGATAGTCAATCAGATGTTAGATAGCTAAAAAGCTGTCGATAATGAGATCATGCTAATTCAAATTTAATTAGGTGGATAAAATGCTTCTGCAGTAAACCACCATGGGCATTCTGTAGATTCACGGATTTATATAGTTTCTCATGGTCTCTCTTTTCCTATTCCTCTTTATTTCTTTTTTTGAATGCTTATTGATTTCTCAGTCTAAATTTCAGTAATTGTTGTAGAAGTGGAATTTTTGTCTAGGAAAAATGGGATGAAAAACTAGTCAAGACTTATCAATAGCTCAAGTACTAGTTCTGGTTTTTATTTAGGCTTATCGTTCGTCAATTTACCAAAGTTCTTTATAGAACTGCAAGCTGTGAAATCTCTCAAAACTTTGATTTTATTGTTTCATAGGAGGTACATGGGACACAAGAGGACTATCCGACCAAATGCAAAGAAGCTCAGTACATTGTTCATGGCAAGGAATCGGATGGATTGGGATACATTTTCTAAAAAGGTGAAGTCATATCAGAGAGGATTCATGGGCGAGCCCGATGAACTGAGGCTAGGGCGAGGTGAATTTCATGAGTTCCCATCCTCTTGTATCTGTCAGAAACAGTCAAGTGAAAATGACTTTGGAAAAGATGAAGATCATAGCTCAAAGCAACAGATCTTAGAAAGGGAGCCAAATGTTCTAGCTCAGTAATGCACAAGAATCATGATGAGGTGAATTTGTAAACCAAAAGGAGTAGCAAGGCTGAATCATGGCTGTCATCTGGGAGGATGAGTTCTTGCTCGACCAAATTTAAGACAGCGCTTGAGGAAGCTCGAAATCTGGCAGTCTTCTTCGCCTGCCTCCTGCAAGACCCTACGGAGCTGAATTATATCTGTGAATAGAAGTGAGGGAAGTTTGATGGTCAAAGTGTTCATAGTTTGGTGGTCCTGGCCGGTATACACACTGCGGATTCCAGGATGGCTTCACACACGAAATATGGTTTGGTTGTCAGTTTCATTTTCCATTGACATGTATGTAGGCAATTATATGTCGCGGCTCAGTTTATGAAGTGGAGGCAATTAAGGCAAAGTCAGTCCACTTCTCGGCATCCTAATGTCTGGTTATGGCACTGTACCAAACCATCAACTTTAACAGTATATTGCTGTGTGGTTATGCCTCAGTTATGCCCGATCATCGGATACATGCGATGTTTTTGAGGTAGAAAGAATTGAAGTGGAAAAGCTGGGGATGTTGATTTGCATCTCATGGCACATCATTTCTGTGTAAAATTTGCATGGGCAGGTTTAGGTTTAACATTTTTGGGTTTGACATGGGTGCTCAGTCATTATATGGAGACTGTAAATTATCTAGCTATATTTCATTGGCCTTTTTTCCGTGGACCGTGTCATTTGCGGATAAATTATCAGCAAAAACAAAGTTGGAAAGGCTGTTCTTGGGAAAAATAGTTGCCGTTTTATTGTTCTGGTTATATTACAAATTTTCACGATGATGCACCAAATTAGCAATGTGTTCACAGAGAGGCATGCTTGGCCAGCATCCTGAAGTAATCTCATTGTAAAGGCAGTCCTAGCGGAAGGTTCGACAACTTAATGTTATCAAGGACACAAAAAAAAAGGGACTGCAAAAAAAAATTTGAAACATAAGCTATCGTCCGGCGTCCATGGTTGCCTTCTTTTTTCACGGTACGACGTTAATGCAAGTCGCCTTTGTTCGAAAGGGTGGCCAAAAAAAGTAGCCTAGTATAACAACATGAACTCATTTTGACATGGGCACTAAACGTACACAAAGTCTTATCCCAGTCGATCACCCGAAGGGTAACTCAGAACTACTTTGAGCACAGACATTATTCTCGTGACCAGAAAGACGTACTTGAGCCAAATGAAGAAAGAAAGAAGCGCTACAAGTATGGAGAAAGCAAAGATAATAATGGATTTACAATGACGAACCAGACGCAAATAATGTGCATAAACACCTCACCAAAGAGGCCAAACATCGCCGGTGGCTAATTGTGAGAAAAGAACGGAAACCCACTCATTGCTTTTCCGGTTACCACGGTTTTTCGGTCAAATCCTTTGAGAATATGTATTGGAATCTTGAGCTGTAGGGTACCCACTCTATGATCTGAGATGCCTTCCTGTTGGTTTTGCGATCGATGCATTTTTGTATCATGTCCTGCAGTTTCTTATCCACGTTTTGTATAACCCAGCTTAGAAGATCATCCGTGCTGATAGAAGCTTCCCTTGCGAATTTCTCAAGCACCTTAGGCAGAAACACCTTCGACTTTTTCACAGATACATTTGCTTGAAGAAATTCTCTTCTCGCTACCTCCAGCTCGGCCTTAAGGTTTGATCCCGTGTAGACTTTTAGCTAAATAAGATCAAAGTTTCGATTAATTGCGGTAATGCAAAGAGGCATGCAAGCTTCATTGGGAACATGAGAAGGGAAAAGCTTCAACATTCAAATTGAAATCTTAAAGATTACAAACTATCTTACACTCCGAAGAGAATCCAAGGAGGCAGCCAAGGACATAATTATTTGCAAGCACTTAAAACTAAATAAATACATAGACCAATAGATTAGCAAGTACAGGCTAGATATGTATTCAACGGCAATTGTTGTTCCAAGGCTAGATATAATGATTATATTTGCATTCATATGCAAACAAAGGAGCAAAAGGCTTGATCTCAGAAGTTACCACAGGATCAGAAGCAGCTCCATTGCAGAGGGCAAAGCAGATAAGGGGTTGGGAGGCCGTGCAACCATATTTTGAGCTGATCATTTGCCTTTCCTCTCCAGATCTTTTTCTCAAGGCAGCAGACACCACAGTCTCCAGCCACTATTGTTGATACAACAGAAGATATAACACTAATTCAGTATGTTCCCTTGATATATAAAAGTCGTTCAATATGACACGTTAATGTGATTTGCATCCTTCAGGTGTGTTTTCATGAGAGTACGTAATTTACCCGTCCTATCCTAGGAGTGCGAAAGCAAAATATTGATTGCTCCAAGGCACTTGCACTTATAATAGTACCACCAATGTTGTACGCAGCCTGCTCTACAGAAAGATCCAATAAAGAAATCCTGGAATAAGTTAGGACAGAACAATTTATGACAGCATAACATCAAAATGACCGTTTACTAGGTGCTCTGGATCCATTTTATAGATTTTGCCTTAAGCTGAAGTTTCAGGTTCTGCTTTACATGCCAATAGAGTTTCAGATCTTGGAATGGATCTCAGTGCCCCAATTCCTCCTTCTTGTGCTTCAGTACTTAGTTATTCTATTTGATGTATTCTCTGCAGTTTTGGGGGTGCTTTTCATTGGTAGAGTCCATCTGGATTTATGGCTGCACAGATTCACAAGATACGATGAACCTACTACATTTCCTGTTGATAAAAATTACTATCCTCAAAACTTTGGCCTTCTATCTTCTGGTTTTCAACTCGATCATTGATAGAAAACCATACCAAAATGAAAGATGATATTAAACTAACATCTTATGTGAAGATTTTCCTTTCCAGATGATATCAAACTTTGCAGTAAAAAGCCAGCTTGTTGTCTGGAGACTAAAAAAGTTAGAATGCCTGATATTGCTACTTGTGAAACATACCATCGCCATAGAGCTCTCAGGTGAAATTTCCCAGACTGAGGTACCTATGGAACCAATATATTTAGGCATAGGTCAGTGGATAAGAAGAGACAAGTGAATTACCTTGTGAAACAAAGCTAATCTCCTCAGAGAGCTGCGTGGGATTCCATAGGCTAAGTAGGCCTGTAAAAGCGATCTCTATTAGAAAATATTATCTGATTTCAAGTTGTTAAGATACAGATGGAAAGAGACATGATTTTACATGCATGACGAGAGAGTTGTATATGTTGATCCAAAATGCAGTTTGTGCATTGTCCTCCATCTGGCCAACATTCACTTTTTCAAGCTGTTCAACTAAGATCCTGAAATTCAAAAGACAAACAGGAGGCATCCTGCATGAAATCAAGCATTCTATCACATATGTTACTGCACATGCGCATTCATGTCTAATAATGTCTCGCTCAAGTGAGTTCTTGTTGACAAAGCACGTTGAAAAGGATGTAATTGACTTTTAAACTAAAAGCATATGAAGCAGATGAAAATGCCTTTGAATCCAGCATCAACTGTCAGTCAGAAGACACCAAGCAATCATCTGCTTACATGACTAGACTTGTGCGACCCTAATATATTTCACGTATAGTTTGCACAGCTCATGTTTGAACAAGGATTGGCAAGGCAACTGTTGATTGATGAATAAGGAATTTAGCATTAAGCTGCGAAAATTTTGTCCAGCATGCCTCTTAGTCTTGTTTGGGAGTAAGAGTGAGGTGCAAAAGAAAAAACAACTGGAGTTATAACATGATGCGCGCAGAGATTTACATTTACATCTGAAATAAGGGTAACTCCAATATTATTGCCTGAAGAACACCCTCTCATGCGAGTGAAAATATAATTCATTGGTTCCCTTTTCTATTCATTTTTCTATGTTGCCACTTTATTTAAAGGCATGGGCATAAGTAACTGACCTATAGTTGTTTATAGCGTAAGCTGCATGGGACAACTGCCCCTTATCAGTTGTTATACGAGATATCTCCACTGTGGACTTGGAAGAACAGAGTTGCTGCTCTCTGCTGCCACATTGAGGAAGAGTAACTTTGGTAGATGACCCTGATAACATTAGTGATCGGATTTTCTTAGGATCCATAGATGTAGTTCTGCGAAGCCAGCAGTATATGGCAGCCATGCACCTGACCATCTCTTCCGACAACTTGCTTGGGCACTCGTAAAGATGATCTTTCAGCGTGTGCAACACCGAATTTCTCCCCGCCAATTGGACCTTTTCATTTACGACAGCGGGATATAATTTAGGGAGACCTTATGGAAAGAATTCAATGACAAGCAACAGGCTGACAATAAAAAGAAACATGTGCTCTGCTCATCACCAAAAGAAAAGAAGCCAAGTTCTTTCCATGGGTGTATACTCTTTTTCCTTTTTAGGCTGAGAAGTTTGCTTGAGGACATACTAACATAACCTTGAGAATATCCAAGGAAAACTACAAAATCAATTACTCAGGCAAGAGAAGTCATAACATAAATAAAATTTCAACTCATTTTCCAACATCATGCACGTGTCCTAGTTTGATATCTGCTAATATAGAAAGCAATGGTAAGAAAAAAAAAATGTATTACTTGAGATGACACAAACACTGTCATCATGCAAAAGGATTTGTTAACCAAAGAATTTGCATCTTTGTTTTTTCTAAACTGCCTATTATATCACTGATCTCCCATTCATTAACGTCCAAATGCTCCAAGCCTGCAGAAAACTCTGATGGACCTCTACTAGAAGCATCAGTCTGAGTTCACCACATTGTTCAAACACAATTTTTTTTGGTTCATAACCATTCTCACATTGACAAAGAACATAATGAAACGACGGAGTCCACGCGAAAAGAGCAATAGATTACCTTTGTTATGTTGGAAGCAGCCTTTCCAAAATGAGTTTCACTTTTGCCAGTCGGTGGCAGAGCATGACTTCTCCTTGCAGGTTTTCTCACACGATCATCAGTAGAGGTAAGTGCTTGCAAAGGTCGCAGCGGGAACTTTTTTGAGGAACAAAATGCACTTGTGATTATGCTTGGATGCTTTCTAGGTGCCTGCTTTGTATGAGCTGGAGAAGCAACGCCTGAACTTTGCTCAGAAGGAGGTTGACTCGAGCACTGGTCAAATATGCTCCTGTAGAGTGAGAGAACGTGCTGTTCTCTGCTGGCGACCTCTTGCTCCAGTAATTCAATTTCAGAAATTAGTTCGTTAGTCTGAAATAGATGAATTCTATGGTCAGTTTACGCTAGCCATATTTGGATTTGACAAAGAAACTAGAAAGTCACAGTGCTACAAATCAGAATATATATTGTTTCATCCATTCGGCATGGAGTAATTTGACAACTCAATCTGTCTTTTCAATGTAATTACTAATTGGTAGGGTAAGTTCTGCTATCTGATCCAATAGTTACTTGCAGGTACCTGGAAAAACCAAATGAAATATTTCACAATGTTCAAATAGCAAACTCATAGTGAATTCACCTTTGAGCCACTTCGATATTGAATTATTTAAGTGGTGGAACAATATGACAGAGCAAGTTATTAGTAACTTCCCGATGATGGATGAACATGAAATGAGACGGTCTAACCAGCTCACATCAACGAATAAAGATGCTCTCCACATTATGTTTCGGTAAGATGAATATAAAAATTCTCAAGAGAAGAAATACCTCAGTAGTGACATGTCTATGTCCAGAAGCATAATGATTAACATTATGTTTTGGTGAGATGAATATAAAAGTTTTCAAGAGAAGAATTACCTTAGCAGCGACATGTCTATGTCCTGGAGATAAAGTACTAGATGCCCTGCCCATTGCTCTCTCAAGCGTAAGCCGCATAGATTTCTCTTGCTGCAAACGTAACTGCAACTGCTCAATCTGCAAGAGATGCAGACATTCTATTATGCTTTATCTGATACTTATGTGCGAAACAGTATTTCTCTGCTTGAGCAGCACATATGCAGCGAATCCCATAATCTTTTATTCCCACAACCTTTTATTCTGCCGAGTACTCGTTCCTTGCAAAATAAATCCTACCATTTAAGAGATATCTAACTTTAGGCTACACATGCAAACATTCCATTAAAGGACACGCAGAACAATTCATGTGATTGTACCCAATCACGCATTAAACTTAAGTTTCAAGATGGCTTATCATGATAATAGTTTAATTCTAGATCACACCTAGAATGATTCTCTGGATTGTGATTCAAGTACCCGATAACTTTTCCACCATACCAGATATTGTCTATAGGGTATTTAAACAGGGATTTCATTAAATTCTGAATATAAAAGAATTAGTTCCGAACCACTGGCAAAGAAATATCTTTCGACGGACAATTTAATTCTACTCATCCATGAAACTAGCTTTAAGACTGTATTTGAATCATCTGGAAAATGCTTGAAGAGGTATATCAAAAGGCGCATTCGTACAGATGCTAGGTAGCACAGCAACATAGTTCTTGCATAGGTTAAAGTTTATAGCGGGCTGCTTCAGGGCAGGCAGGCTATATTGGCATCCAAATCCTGAATGCCAACGATTTTGACAGCATGCTCCTAATCCGACCACGAATCATGGGGCACATAGCCACAAAAGGATGCATAAGGAGTTGACAGTTTGGTCGTCAGCGGTTCTTGACTTATGCATCCCATGATAAACGGATCACCAACCATTGTGAGCTTTTGGTCCCACAAAGTACTCCATTGACCAGAAGTTTGCAAAACCTTGCAATAGGGAACTATTCTAGGCAATTGAACAGAAGCCAAACTGAATTGCCCACTTGTTCTGCAGTAGATTAGGGGAAATGATTTGATAGGTAAATTGATGGTAAGATGAAATGATACCACCTCAGGTGTAAACAGGGAAGATAATGCTGGTTGCTGATCTATAGACATTTAATCTTTAGAAATTGTCGCAAACCGAAGTTCACGAGGATGTGAGACTTGACTAGAGAATACAAACTTCAATCAATTACCCCTACATCTACCAAGACGTCTACTTCCAGTCCTTACATCTTTCTCCAAGGACGCTCGGTGACTTGATGAGGTAATTTTGCCACTATAATTGAAGGGTTCAAGAAGGGGACTCCGCACTTCAAGAGCCCTTGTAGAAAGGGGTGACACCTGTTACGCACATGTCAAAATATAGTAAGTTGTAGATAAACATATGAGTAGTTAGGGAAGACTAGATAATTCTTATCCAGCATGGCCTATGCAGAAAGGCAAGAAATGAATGTGCATAAGTGGTGGTTCATACCAGTGTTGCATTCTTGCCCCTTTGTGAATGCAGAAGTTCACCTCTTGAAACATCGAAATTCTTATCACAAGCACTGATAAGGAAAACAAAATTATCAGAAGAAATGCAACTTTGAAGATCAGAAAACTACAAACACTTGCAAAGAACCTGCTTCAGCCTATCTAGAAATCTAACTGCAATGACTAATTATAAACCCCTACTCCGAACCACACTGTTCCGCTATCTGATTTTCTAATGATTTCTTTTTCTCAACCTATTCTATTGTTTGTAACTTTCCCCTTTCTTATCTTCACCAGTACTTATTGCGGCCCTGAAGAATTCTCACTAGTAAGACCACATCAATATGCCAGCAACATACACAAGAACAGAACACAGAAAGAAGACAGCAAAAGTACTACGCTCTTTTGAATAAGCGGACTCGAGCCAAGAGAAAGAGAACTACACCTCTTAGACCGTCTATGTTGAGCATGAAAACGAGTACGAGCACAACTACTTCCACTCTCTTGTTTTCCAACACCCTCTTCCCTCTCCACTCCATTCAAACTGTCCATTTTCTTCTTCTTTCTCTTTCTTTCCAAAACTCTAACCCATCATTCAAAGCTCAGACATTCTCGATCTGCCTACCAACACAATGCCATGCACAGACAATGGAGCATAAATGCAGATGCACCACGAATGACCCACTTGAATATGGAAGGAATGAGAATGATTTTCGGAGGAAGAGCGAGGAATAATTAGTAGTTCTAGACAAACCCTGAATGAATGGCTAGATTTTTGGGTATGCGCGAGAGAGAGAGAGAGAATCAACACAGTCTCGAAATGGAAGTAGCCCGAAAGAAATGCCAAGCGAATAACACCAAGAAATTACCCCGCGGGAGGGGACCGGCTTCTGGTGCAGAATTCAATGGAGGTTCTTCCGGGTCGTTGAGCGCATTCAATGCGCGATTCAATTCAACATGAAGAAGCTCCCTCTCTCTCTCTAGAACCTGCATCTGTTGCAGGTACTTGGTCGCTCAGTTCACCACGGCCATCCATCCATGTCCGCTTCCTTCAAATGATTCCTTCATCAATGCATTGCGAGGCATCATCACCGTCGTTTGAATTCGGATTCCGCCCCCCTTTTTCGGACCGCGCGAACCGAGCTCGGGCCTGTGGATTTCCCGGCGAAAGAGGCAAACGAGGAGACGGATTTATGATCAAGCCTCTGTCACTGTCAAGCTGCTGAGACGTACTGGAATACGGGCGACGAAGACGGACCCGGTTTCCAACTGGAGCCGCCCGACACCTCATTTGGACCGGGTTCGCTGGGTCCGAACGGGCCGATTCGGAAATTCCAGTTATTTTTTCGGTTTTATCGTTCGCGGGCGGGCGGGCCTGAAGATTCCGGAGGCCCGATGCTGGACCCGATCCGACCCATCGGACCGCCCATTGATAGTTCTATTCTAGTGTCTCCAAGACCAAAGCAAAGCTCGTCCTCCTTCGCTTCGATCCCGGAAACGGAAGTCCGAATTCTCACCGGTGTCGAAGATCCGATCCCGTCGCCGTCGAAGATCCGATCGGCAATTAGCGTTTCCTCCCGTCGTTCTCCGATCGAAACCCTACCAAACATGCCTGTATCTTTCTCTCTCTCTCTCTCTCTCTCTCTCTCTCTCTCTCTCTCGCACTCTCGCTCTAGATTTGGATCTCCTTTGTCGAATGATTCGGAGGAATCGATTGTTTGTGTCCGTGGTGCAGTTCAGAGGAATGATGGAAGTCGAGCCGCCGAGCCCGATCAGGTACTTGATAGGAGCTGCGATCATGATGGCGGGAGTGGTGCTGCCCGTGGGCTACATGATGTTCCGCAACAAGCGCGCGCCTTCCTCCTCGTCTTCTTCGTCGTCGTACTCCAAGCAGACGTAGGTGTGCCTTCTCTGATCTATTTACTGTAACTCGGAAACAGCTGGCTTCTATCGATTGCTGCGCGGTCTCGACGGCGATCACGTGTCGATCTTTGAAGTTAATAGGTTGTCTGGGGATATTCATTGACGCTTGCTGCGTCTCCCGTTGATTTTGTTAGCGATTAGTCGTACATGAAGTGGACTTCTTTGAGAAAACACTAGTGAGGAATGTTTTTATGTTTCTCCTTAGTGCTGATGATCTGATTCTCAGTTATCAGCTGTTGCAGTTATTTTATACTATAGGAATTTACAGTAGCTAAGCCGGGAAATTGAAGTTCTAGGTTTTTTCTTGCCCTCTTATTTCGGCGGTTATGACAATGGATTTGCATGTGATCGCAATTCTTTGGCTCTCCACATTGTCAATTTTCACATCGTGTTTGGAATTCGTGGATGTTGGGATGCCTGGTGTTGTTGCTGTTGACTGCGGAGTGATGATTTGACATTATAGATTGAGGAAGGGAGGATCTACAAGATGTTTAGGGAGTTTGAATCTTAGGTGCCTCTACAGGGTCGACTAGTTTCGAAAGAAGCAAGTTAGAAGCCGTGTGTTGCAAATTGAACAAGTCGTCGAGGGTTTGATCTAGCAGCAATAACAGCCAATAGGAAGCACCGCTTACGAGGTTCATATACGTTGTTGTACTTTACTCTTTTGTTAAGCTTAGAGTTATGTTGAGAGAAGGTTTCAGTGCAAAGCTTCATTGGGAAGCTTCAAATTGAGATATTGAGTGAAACAGTGAGAGGAAAATAGAGTGTATTTGGGAGAGCATATGGTCAAAGTAGTTTGTGTTTGGTGAGAGTAATCTACTTATTTTGTATGGCGAGAGGGATCATTGTAATACGTTCATACTATTCTCAAATACATTGTGGTTGTTCGTCTATTATATAGTTCTCTTGTATCTCCACCACCACGCTTGCGCCGAGGTACCCAGCAAGTGGTATTCAAGTTGCGCTACAAACTTCACATCTGTTACATAAAGAACGGAAATGGAGGGAAATAGATAGACCGCTACTTTCTTCCTCCAACTTCTTTAGATTATGCACTGGAAGGATTGAAAGAGCATTGAAACTATTCAGTATGTTTGACATGCAATACTAAGGATCTTACTCTGCTCCTCCCCTTTATCCTGATGTAATACATAACAGCTGATGCGGATATCATTTCCTCTCTTTCTGGCTTGCTCTGTGTGTCTTTGTGATTAAAGACCTCATTCTATGATCAAATATTTAGTTGATAACCCCTCATATTGGTACATGCTGAAGTTGCTTTTCTGTATTTGCAGGAGCAAAGTGTTGATTTAGAGAGAATTTAATTCTTTGATTTGACGAGGCTTACTAAATCCAAAATAGATTAGAAGGAAGGCCTTCGGAGGCCTGCAAATTACAGTTGTAAATGCTTTGGAACTTCAATTCATCATACTGTTCTGAGTTTCGCTTCAAGTTTACGATAGTGAGTGAAGATGGTTTCTTCTGTGTTGTTACCCAGTTTTGATCGGTTTGCTACATTGATAAGTCCCATACCCTTTCTGTGCCTTGTTCCTTATGTATTCTTGCTCTGGAGAGCTCTTGGATGTCTTATAGGCTCAGTTTCCACTGTATCTGGGTGATACTTTACTGAATACCAGCGGCTTTGTCAGCAGAAGCTCACCTTTGCTTGGGAAGATGTATCATCAAATTGGTCTTAGCTGATAATAAGCATTTGAAATGGTCAGTTTGAATGCTTTTGACTTTTGAGTTCTCCCAAAGAAAGTGCATTGTGGTGTTTGAGAATTAGTCTAGCCAACCGGGAACTTTTGTCTCCTAAAGGTGTTTCTAGACTTCTTCCATGTTTCTTTTGGGGAAAAGATGCAAAAAGCGTCAGCAATGATAATTCTTGCATCTCGGCTGGTTATGTAGCGTCCGAACTTCACCTCGGCTTTCCTTTCACTTGACAGCATACCGTTGGAATGCTTTTGCCCAAGTGGTGACGGCTTTCCTTTCACTTGACAGCATACCGTTGGAATGCTTTTGCCCAAGTGGTGACGGATTGATCTATCTCCCAGGGGCAACCAGTTGATGGTCATTGCGTTCATGATGCTCATTTTGTCATCGTCACATTGGTGAATCACCTTAGAGATTCAGAAATGTCGGGATCGTATTGAAGCATGTCATATTACAAGTGTGTTTCTCCCTGGTCAGAAAAAAACCAAGTAGGCTGTAAAAGTATGGATCGAGGGAAGGGAAGGTGGTGAGACGAAGGAATGTCCTATGTGTCAGATTTGAAAAGTCTCGTGCTATAAACACCAGCGTCGACTATCGTGCATACAGAAATAGCTCCTGTTCATGTAAAATCACTAAATACCGAAAAATGTCGTGCCAAGAATAGCTGACCACTGTGAAATGCTTTTACACTAGCTGTAAATTAATTGCAGAGATTTGCAAAGAAGATGCTGCAAATTTTCAACTTCATGGTTGGCCATCAAGCAAGAAAAAATTGTCGCTTGTGAGTCGGAGCAATCTTAATAATACACGACGAGTGCTTGTATGGTCCTCCTTCAGCATGCAGGTCCTTCCTTCCACCTTCCTAGGGCTTGTCCTACACGAATCCTATCACCTTGTTTGATACAAAACCTAAAACCAGAGGGGTCATCATCTTCGGGTGATTCTGACATTGGAGCTTGAAAGATCAGAACCACTGTTGATCCCATGTTAAAGGCGGCCATCTGAAAAGTGGAAATGTGTACATAGTCAATATCGCCAAATTCACAAACTATACCTAGGATGATGGACATGCAAATTCATCTTTTCAATCACTCTCTAACATACAGAAAATGGTAGTAGCAAAGAATAAATGATACAAGCAAGAAAAGGTTCGAGATATTCCTAACCTCATCCCCTTTCTTGCACATGATTCCAACACCTTCAGGTTCATAAAACCGTTCTTTTGGAGGTTCTGACTGCAATAGTTTCTTCTTCGGCCGGTTTGTGCGAAGCTCAGGTTCAATATAAAGCTGCAATGTGCAAAGTTCTGCCAATGAGAGTTGGGCCAGGCATTGCCAACAGAACATATTTTAGCCAAATGCAGCCAATCATTTTCACAATACCCATTACTACATGAAGCATAATAAGGTTCCAGATCAGCAATTATCTATGTGGAGATATATTCCCATAGGCTTTATTCCCAGCAGAAAATGCATGCAGCAGACTTTTCGCAAACACAATCACTGCTGCAAAACTTTATTTTACCAATCGAGATATTCAAAGACTAAAAGCTTTTGCATGGAATTGTTCCTTGAGCTGTACTTTTATGCTAATCTCATGCCTAAATATATTCTTGCCTTTTCAAATGGGGAAGAGGAGGGAGGGTCTAAGCTATTAAGGTCATAATTTAGCCAACCTCAATCGATCCAATATTTGTCGCACCGATAGCAGCAAGTGCCATAAAACCTTCCTGCCAGAGACCTTCAAGAACAACCTGGAAACATGAAAAATCATGAACACGATTTTCTCATATCCATATCAAGGCAGAATAGATCACGGAAGCTTATTAACGAGAGAACACAAGATAATTCACTATCTAATGAGTTTTTCGGTTTGATACCATATCATTTAGAGCCAGGGCTTTTTCAGAAAAAAGGAAAGGAATACCAAGGTACACCCGATACAAGGAGACAGTAATGGGAGTGCATTTTTATATTACATTCACATAAACACATTAAAAAATTTCATGATAGTTAAAAACAATGCCTTTAAGCTGATATAAGCCACCAGTACCCCTTCTCTCTTTAAGTTTAGTGAAACCACACTGACACTTTGAATGTACAAAGGAACTTAAAAGGTACAAACGATCATAAACTATACATAACTACATTTTATAGCAATGTTGTAATTTCCAATCAGAATGTTCTGGCCTAAATTTTCGTGTTAAGTGTAGTTATTTCTAAACTACTTTCATGACTTTGATATGTCACAGGTAGTGAGACAAAACCCTAGTATCAAAGTTGTAGGGAGGCTTTGGCCAAAAAAACAGAAAAAGAAAAAAAGAGGTAACATGGTCCAACTTGGATCAGGAAAAAAACACAGGCCAAGCGGATCTTCATCCACACATATATAGGCCTACCTCTCTCCTTCCTTAACAACCACACAAAGCCACTGAACTACCACCGCCTCTCCCCCTCCCCCCCCCCCCCCCCAAAAAAATAAATAAATAAAAGAGGGATCAGAAAGAATCAAGCAATGCATATGTTTTTAAAAAGATGAGGTTTGCAGGATTCATCCCAAATTCTTTGATTTGTAGCATATAATACTCAGACTCTGTAGAATCCAGAATACTTGACCAGTCTATCCATTCGAATTAACAAAGAATGCTTTCCAAAAGGTTGACTGTCATCAATAATTTCAATTTTTGCACGCTCCTGTACATCCAACACTAAAGCACAGCTAACAGAATCGTTGCTTGCATTTCTGTTACTTATTACACGGTTTCCCGAACAGTTTCAGACAGTACACTATTCCCCGGTTCATCTACACTCCCAGCAAATCGACTATTCACATACAGACTTCACAGACATGTTGTCCAATAATAGTCTTGCCAACCCTTTTTTGATATGATTGACACTTTTGCAAATGGAAATTCTTTATAAGCAAATTATATTAACTTCCACCATGAATATCAAGAACCAGATAAAATTACCCTCTCATTCTCCACGTATAGGTTCCTTATTGTCCTCGTGGCACGTTCATTTAAAGGAAATAGGTGGCCTGGAAACAAAGACAGTTAATTAACAGTGTCTGCAATAGGTAAAGAACAAATATTACCAATCAAAAGAAGAATATTAGTAGTTACAAATATGGAGCTTCCAGCAATCATTGATGCATGTGTACATATCATACAGAAAACTGGCTGGAACCAACAATATCAACCCGAAAACCAAAGAGAATTAAGATACCTGAAAAATGTCGCCTAATTAGAATATTCCAATTAGCTGGTGAATGGATCCGATGATAATCTCCAGGTCTTAAGTAAATTACACAGTAAAAGAGGCCTGTCATAGGACTGCAATGAAGATTTCATTAAAAAAAGGTCAAATAAATACTCTCCTGATAGTGAGTTAAGAGAGACATACAACCAATCAAAATCAATATGACACAAGATCGATAAATGCAAGTCATCTAACTGAATACTAGAATCTAAGCCCGTTCAAGAAACCAACGGCCAATATTCATGTTCCATGCCATTCTCTTGAATCCCCATGCTCATCGGCAGCCATCAGATGAGCACTAGATGGAAGATGTATGTCAAGTCAATTTCAGCCCAAAAAAAGAGAAAAGATAAAGAAGAATTCCGATCCCACTTCACTCTCAAAACTTATTCCATGAACTGAATACAAGTCAGTACCACCAATTTGTTTTATTGAATCTCGAATCTTTCCCCTCCCCATCCCTCCTCGAAGGACATTAATTTTCACAAAAGTACGTGAAGAACTAAAGCACTTCATCAGTTCAATCGTGTAATCGTGTAATTTTTCAGATGAATTAACATGATTACCATGCTGACACAGGGTCCCTGATTTTCGGTGAGGCCAAAGACACTCTCCACCATGATTTCTTCCTTTCCTCTTTTGTGGGACTTTCCTTTTCAACTTCGTCTTCATTGATCTTCCCTCCAGCTACCATTGGTAGGAAAGAACTCGCACCGAGAAGAGCATAAACTGAGTACGAAAAACCTTTGACTTGCTCAATCATAGCCCCAGCAGCCTTCAACTCTCCGCATCGTAGAATAGTACCATCCACAGGACTGACCTATGAGTGAAGGGAGAAATTTAGACACGGTGACAAGTAACTGATGCACTGAAGATGCCAAACGGTTTGTATAGATAAAATGCTCAGGAAAAAGTTACCAGTTACCAGGCATTTTGGGTCTGGGTCAATTGGCCTTGAACCTTCTTTTAGGGCACGGACAAAAAATTCCTGTAAAGAAGAATACTCTTCAAGTGGCAATGCTGCTTCTTCTAAATCTGCAATAAAAATTGGTTTTAGTTTTTTTTGGTACACAAAGTCAGTTTTGCCCATTTAAGGACAACTTTAGGTAATATTCCTGCGAATCATCAAGAACCAGAGTAGCTACAGCTACAAGACCACGTACTAATCCATCGACAAAAAGTTTAAAATGGAATGCAGATAACCATATACTTGAATGGAATGCCCGTGCCCACGCTCTACACAGAGAAGGCCGCATCCATACAGGAACTTCCTGTGAAGATTTTCTTCAGTCAATTCATAAGTTGAAAAAGGTGTCTAAGTGGAAATTTGGAAGAACAGTTGCCTGTGGAGAACGGCATATAGAGAAGACAGACCAATATGAATACATGCTGAGAAGTCAAAAGTACCAAAGGCACAAAGGGAACAGAAAGGCAACGTCTATGTTTTTGGCTTGAGAGTAGGAGATGGTAATGTATAAAATTAAATTATCTACAGAACTGTTCTCCTTTCACCTTCTCATGTGATTAAAATAAAAAACGGCTCAAAGTCATTCTCCTTTTTTGCAGTAAAAACTGAAAGGGATTTAAGGCGTCATGGCGGCTCTTCAGAGCACCGTATCGGGCCAAAACCCAATCCAAATGACACTAGCCAAGTGTCCCAACTCCCAAGAACATAAAGATATTCTAGGAAATAAAAGCAAAGGATATGCTTGAATTCCTTACCACACTCGTCAGAATACCCCAAAATCTTGAAATGGATCTGAGAGGTAGTAACCTGAGAAATGTGGCCTAGAACAGACCGGGACAGAGAAGATTGTACAAAATTTAGATGTAAATATACACCCCCTTAATGAACCAATGACACGAGCCACCAAAGAAGTGAAAGCATAATAGATCGTCGGTGACTACATAATACATACCTTTACATCTGGATGGAATTCGTATTCAATTCCCTTTTCCCTTGCCTCTTCAACCTGTAACAAAGACACCACCACAAAAGAAAACTTGGCCGCATGTTTATGACAACCAAAGAAGGGCCTTTGCAAAGATATCTGAATACGCTAAATTCGGATGTATTCAAAATCTGTCAGGAGAACTACTTCCTTCAGACTAAGTTCATATGCTGTAACCACGACTTAAGAGCACAACTCAAAATTTTCCTCAACCACTGATAAGGTAATGAAGTTCGACTTCTTCCACTTTCAAGGCACTTGAAGAACAATAGTAACGAGAAAGAAGCTCCGTATAAGCACACGACATGAAATTAAGAGCCCACACCTTCTTATCGTCGTAGAGACGACGAGCGTGGAGTGCACCGAGCATGAGAAGAGTAGCGACCGTGGCACCAGGCACCAGATAAGAACTCCCTGCAACGTCACGCGACGACGGCAACCACCACCACCACCACCACCGTCACGAAGAACAACAGTAAGAACAAATAGAAGTAAAATGAGTGACAAGTGCTCGCGAGCATGAGCTCGGCGCACGAAACGTGCGGAGCGAAGCTCCTCGGACTGACCATCGGAGCCGGCGGCGCCGCCATTGGAGGACGCGCGGGCTTGCGCCGGGTCGCTCAGCTTCTTGGCGAAGAAGGAAGCGAGGCACCGGCGGCCTTGGTGCAGGCAACGCAATGGCTTCTGGTGAGGGAAGAGCAGAAGCTTGTGGGAGCTCCGGAATCGCATTGTCGCCGGAGATTCGCCGCGCAACTTGGGGAGACTTTCTCTGCTAAATTCGCTCCTCCGTCGTCGTCGGGCGAAACAGGACGGCCGCGAGAGCGAGGGGCTCCGCGATTTATTCGGGTCGGCCCCGCCGGCTCCGGATGGGAAAAAGGAAATCGGTTCATTTCTAAGACCCGAACCGGACTTCAATCCGGAACTAAACCGGATCGTATGAAATTTTCAGTTTAATAATAGGGATATGCAAAACGGACCACCCAAATCGGGAATCGCCCAAACCGGACCGGACCGGCTGGTTTGTTTTGATTCCCAGGAGTGTCAGTCCGGTTCCTAATTTCTAAAAGTGAAATTGGCGTTCGGTCCAATCGAACCGGATCGACTACATATATATTTTTTATTTCTTTAAAAAATTAGTAAAATATGAATTAAACCTAAGTGAAGTGCGTTTTTTGGTTCGTCTTTTCAATTTGATCATTCATGGTTGCGAAAGTTAGGATCTTTTTCTAAAAAAATAGTGGGAAACACGAAGATATAGCATCAAGTAGTGGGAAAATAAAATTGACAGGTTCCATTAGAGTAGATCAGACCATCGGCCGTGTCCGATTCCTGATTTCAAGACCAACTTGTCCGGTCCCCGATTCCCAATTTTGAGAACCAGTCCTCCTAGTCCAATTCCTGATTCCACTTTGGAACCGGAAATCGATCACCCATATTTAATAATCTAGTTGATTCATTTAACAATTATTTATCTGTTTAATATTGTTTATATAATGTTCATTCGAACCGGAGCATACATTAACATAAATAAACTTACTCGTAATAACGGCATCAATATAAATGCATTATAACAAAATCTTTTTGGAGGGGCTATCTTCAGGAGTGCCGCCTAAAATTGTAAATTGCGAGAATTGACCTCTCCTCGTTTCATGAAAATTTTTTTATGCTTTTTCAAAATAGCAAATTGTATATTCACTAATTTGTTGCCACTCATCTATATCCTCACTCTTCATTATTTCTACTATTCAATTGTAACCCATTTGTATTTAAGAAGTACCTTTTTTTTTAACATGGAAAAATAATTTTTAAAATTTTTCCTATATTAGTTCGTAGATAAAAGCATCTACTCTCTATATGCATCTCAGATTTAGGATTGCTTCTACGGTATATGATATTTTTTGGGGAAAATACCACCAAAAATCCCAAACTATGTCACTTGTGACAAATTTACCCTGAACATTTTTTTGTGACACGAAAAATCCCAAAATCAAGTCTCGTGGGAATCGACGAACTTTTTTGTGACACGAAAAACCCCAAATTATGATACTTGTGACAAATTTACTCGAATTTTTTTTTGTGACACGAAAAATCCCAAACTATGCCACTTGTAACATATTTACCCCATAATACTTTAGCCCATGGGCATTTTCGTCTTTTTCTTTTTCTATTTTTTTTCCTTTTTTTCTTTGTTTCTCTCTCTTCCCTCGCCATGTGCGGGCTAGCGGAGGCAAGCGCCGAGATGCAGCGAGCGACTTCGCCCGGCTCGGGCAAGGCTGCCCTCGCCCGCCCGGGCGAGGGCTACTCTCGCGACACCGGCGAGTCGCCCTCGTCGGATCGGTGAGGCGACCCTCGCCAGGGGCTCGGCTTCCCTCCGCCATGGCCGGCAGAGGGAAGAGAGAAGAAAAGACAAAAAAAGGAAAAAAAAAACAGAAAAAAGAAAAAGACGAAAATGCCCATGGGCCAAAGTATTGTGGGGTAAAAATGTCATAAGTGGCATAGTTTTGAGTTTTTCGTGTTACAAAAAAAGTTCAGGGTAAATTGTCACAAGTGTCATAGTTTGGGGTTTTTTGTGGTATTTTCCCTATTTTTTGTTACGTTCGTGAATTTGTATTTGTATAATAATGAACTATTTTGTACTTTGACAATTAAAAAAAATTAATTATAATTTTTACAACTAATAATCCGTTGAAATAATATTAAATTTATGTTAAAACGTTTCATCTTCCATTTTAATTAAAATTTGTTCGATAATCCACGTAATGCAGTGCGCGGGTAAATATCATGTAATGACATGATAAAATCTAAATAAATTACAGAAAATGAGGAAAAACAAAAAATAGACCGTTAAAAAGCAATCTTGCTAAACAAGACACACAGAGCACAGAGTTGGCGCGCCATTTTGCACTCTTCGCAAGCGAAGCTGCTCCCGTCGCTTCCGATCGAGAAGCCATGGAGGACGAAGAGAGATCGAGCATGGTGATCGGTCTCATCGAGAACAGAGCTAAGGAGGTCGGTCAGTCTTTCTACTCGATTCGCGCCACCTCTCGTTTCTTCATGTAAAATGCAATGGAGGATCGATGAAATCGCGGCCATGGCTACGCCGTACGGACGCGCCGGCCGGCGAGGTCCGCTCTCGGTTTACCGGAACACGTATCGGTTAGTGTCCGACGATCGCCGGACGGTGAGGTTAGATCGGAGAACTGAAGCTACTGCTTCGGTACTCTACGTCTCTCTCGATGACGATCGGAAATAGAGCGTGAAAGGTGTGAAATGTTCTTTCGGTAGGGATAACAGAAAGCTGGTCGCAAACGTAAGAAGGTTGGAGTACTGCTTGTGAACTGGTCAGGTTTGTTGTTCCGAGTCGAGAGATGCTTATCCAGGCTTTTTGATTGTTTAATCGATGGCTGGAGTCGGCGGTATGCGGTTTTTAATGATCTCTGTTGATGACTCCTGAGGAGACATTGTGCTTCATGGATTCGACTACTTTAAAGTCAAGAGGATTGTGATGCGAAGTTCTAGTTAGGTAGTTTAAATTGAAATGCTTGTATGGCGTGTCGCCTCTTCAATTTTGCGCAACTGCATCGAGTGTTGATATACCGGCTTATGTAAGAATAGTTTGCTTGGGGCTTAAACTAGTCTTGGGTGGTCATGTTATCCTGCTCACTTGCTGTTGGTTGTCGTTGTGAACTTGCCGTTGTTTCTAATTGTAAGCACTCGCTCTCTGCACAGGTCGGGGTTGCTGCTTTTGATCTAAGATCTGCTGCGTTGCATCTTTCACAGTATATCGAGACTAGTAGTTCGTATCAAAACACGAAGACTTTGATGCAATTCTACGACCCGGTGGTGATTATAGTTTTGCCAAATAAGCTTGCACCTGATGGCATGGTCGGAGTGTCCGAGCTTGTGGATAGGTTTTATCCTTCAGTTAGGAAGGTAAAGTGGCGGATATGGCTTTGCCACTATATTTCCTTTTGACTCTACTTTTTGAGAAGATATATTGTGTTGGCTTTTGCAGGTTGTGATGGCCCGTGGATGCTTTGATGACACTAAGGTTAAGATCGATGGCCTGTCTTCTAAAGTGATACAATAACATAAAGTGGCACTAACACTGTACATTTTTCTGTGGGATTATTCCCCCAAAATTCGATGCTCCAGGGAGCTATGCTGGTTAAAAACTTAGCAGCAAAGGAGCCATCGGCACTTGGTCTGGATTCATACTATAAGCAATATTATCTCTGCCTGGCTGCTGCAGCAGCTACAATCAAATGGTATTCCTAAAGCAAGTGCATTACCTGTATGCTTGTCCAAGAATCTGTTGTGTCTTTGTTGCAGTAGATCTACAACTAGATCTTTCTCCCTTTACATAAGAGGTGAAATCTTGATGATCCCCTTGACCATAATCAGATGTACCATCCTGTGAAAGAATTTTTCTCTAATCGAGGCAAACAGAAGACATAACTAAGTTGTCACTGATAGGTTATAAGTTGGGCAGAATAATGTGTTCAACTGTGATGGATTTGTAAGAGAACTTTAAATGGCACCAAAATTCAGTTTTATACCTCCAAAGATTGATCTTCTTGATAGTTGACTGCTTTGTTGTGATAAGACCCATTGAGATGTTGATCCGTGGATATTTTCCTTCAGTATTTGGCTAGTAAGACTTACTATGTTTTACCATTATTTTCATTTTTTTCTCTGAAGTATAGATCTAGATGCTAAACGCATGTAGCTTTCTTTAGAACCAAATTAAAACAGTCTCAACCTCAAAAAGCAAGGCAATTTGATCCAAAAGATCAATTATTCATCTCGTTGAGTTCCTTAAAAGTTAGAACAGTCATGTCAGTATAGCCTCCTTTTAATTGCTTAATCTGACTATAATCGGCTCTTTGACTATGTTATCCTAGGACTTCAGAGTGTAAAGATTTCTACCAGGCAATTTCTTGATAACTGCATTCAAACAAGTAACTTATTCATTGTATTGAGCAGGACCGAAGCAGAGAAAGGCGTGATAGTAACCAACCACTCTCTGCCGGTATCTCTTCTCACTATATGGAAAGTTCTATATAGAGTTTGCCATAATGACTAGACACCATTCTAACAGTAACTCATTAACCCCTAAGATGTCAGTTTGTCTTTCAAGGCCACATTGCTGATAGCTATCAATTTATAATCTATCTACAGCATTCTCTGTGCTCTTATTGTCATCCCTTATCCTCAGATGTTTTGAGAAATCTGCTTCTATGGTTCAACCTGCTTTTCTTAGTCTGATTCTTTAGTCAAATTACTAATTCAAACAGTTGAGTGTCATTAGACAGTATCAGTCCTTTGACCAGGAATGTACATTTATGAGCATATACTGCTCAACCAGCCTCTTTTGTCATGCAAATTCCCAAATTTACTCGAGAAACTTGACTTTTCCAGGTAACTTTTAATGGATCCTTTGATCACATGAATATTGACGCTACTAGGTATTATTCCTCTAATAATGAATTCATGTTTAGTCTATCTGTGATTTCTTTATTTAGGAAGAATCTCATTTCAAAATTAGCATTTTGATACAATAGCTATTTTTCATACTTCTTCCAGCTAATACAGGAATGAAATGACTTTTTCATGGTCACATTTCATTTCTTTGAATAAGTTCTGCTGTTTTTATGTGATGGCAGCGTCCAAAATTTGGAAATTATCGATCCATTCCATTCTTCCCTCTGGGGCACAGCCAACAAAAAGAGAAGCTTGTTTCATATGCTAAAGACAACGAAGACTATTGGAGGGTATGTGTATCACCACATCTGATGCTGCAGATATTGCTCTTAGCAATCACAAAAATATAAAAACTTGGTGCCTTCTGAGGCTTCATCTTCACTGTGGGAGTGAGGAGGTGGTGCAGTTGCGAAGTGTGGCTAATGGTGTGAAATTTTGAAAGTACATAATTGAAAACAAGCAGGAATGTGGACATTATGAACATGGATGTCACTAATGCATTTCTTTTGTAAATCTGGTTCCAGAATAGCTCAGACTTTACACTACTGTAACATTGCGATGAACTTTTATCCAGGACTAGACTTCTCCGGGCCAACCTGCTGCAGCCATTGAAAGATATTGAAACTATTAATGCTCGTCTCGATTGCTTGGTTAGTCTTTAATTTTTTTCTTAAGGTCACTCTGGCACTGTTTGCTAGCTGGATAATTGGACAAACCGGCACATTCAATTATAAATCTGCATTCATTTCTCTTAAGATGATCTCCTTCTGAATGTTTTATTCTGCATTTTTTACTTTCATTCTCCATAATTTCTTTGTGAAATTAAAATCATATTACTATCTGCATAATGCATTGTGTCTTGATCTCTGCAGGATGAACTAATGAGCAATGAGCAGCTGTTTTTTGGACTCTCTCAGGTCCTGCGTAAGTTCCCAAAAGAGACTGGTGAGTGCAAAATTTGTAGCCACAAATTGAACTAGAAAGATAAAAGATAGAACTAAGGGCTTGCAGATAGCATTTTTTTTTTTGGGTTCACTTACATGTGGGTCATCTGCTGTCTTCAATCAGATAGGATACTATGTCACTTTTGTTTCAAGCCGAAGAAGGTTACAAGCGGAAGTCTGGGCTTTGATCATGCTAGAAAAAGCCAACTGTTGATATCAAGCATTATTTTGCTGAAAACTGCTTTGGATGCTTTGCCTTTACTCTCCATGGTAATATGATTTTGTACTTTTCCATTTTTCACTGAATTCAAACAATTATCTTTTGTTATTGCATGAATCCAGGTTCTAAAACAAGCCAAAAGTTCTCTCCTGGTGAACGTTCACAAATCTGTATGTGAGAACCAGAAGTATGCTGCAATTAGAAAGAGGTAAGTACCATCTACTGATCATATATTTCTAGCAATGCCTGCAGATATTAAGTAGAGACAAAGACTGCTTAGGCCAGTTTATCTGTAGCTCTCCCATTCTCAAGAAGACATTCATATTAGTTAGATACATAGGATCCTGATTAACTGTGCCCTGTGTGTGCATTTGCCTCTGTGGACTTCTTGTATCAATGTCTTTCACATATTTCATTAAGAAGATTGATCCTTTTCAGAATGGGGGAAGTGATATCATGTTCTCATAATGCTCTGGCTTCGAATTTTTACGAAGAAGCTTCATCCTTTTCAGGATAGGGGAGGTGATTGATGAAGATGTGCTTCATGCAAGGGTTCCTTTTGTTGCCCGCACACAGCAGTGCTTTGCTGTCAAGACTGGAATAGATGGCTTGTTGGATATTGCAAGGAGATCATTTTGTGACACAAGTGAAGGTTCTCTGTTTTCTACCTACATTCCTCTCTGTCGATTTCTTTTTTGATGTGCCCTAGATATCTGAAAAAGGAGACCACTGTTGACAGCAATACATAACCTAGCAACTAAGTATCGTGAAGAATTTAAACTGCCAAATTTAAAACTCCCTTTCAACAATAGACAAGGCTTTTACTTCAGTATTCCACAGAAGGATATTCAAGGAAAGCTTCCTAGCAAGTTCATACAGGTTATGGTTTATCTTATTGTCTTTTCTTGGAAACATGACCTCCAATTTTATCTGAAATCTTTCTCTTCTTGATTATATCAAATCAGGTCGTAAAGCACGGGAACAACATTCATTGCTCCACTCTCGAACTTGCTTCGGTTAGTAAATAACCAAAAGCTTATACTTGTACTTTATTCTGGTATGATACTTTTGATTGTGTTTTAGGTGGGGTTTGTCAGAGATCATCATACCATATGATCTTCCTATGCCTCATTTTTTATGAAGGGTCGTCCGGGGCATGTATTAACCATACTCAACATTGAAACATTTTTATCTCCAATGACCTAATTACGCATGACGCTAGAAGCACAACGCATTGAAAATAACAAATTTTGCTGAATTGGGTGTTTGACAAATGCCCTGGGGGCACTTGTTAACAAAGTCTGTTTATCAATAGGCTTTTTGGCTTTAGACATTGTAATTTGCACATTGTGTGGTTTAGCAACTGACTGGCAGTCAACGCTGAGGCATGAAAACCCTACAGGTAGTAGGGCCACAATAAATGGCAATGCAAATAAGTGCTGTTGTGCTCACATAAATCGCCACCACAAGTTACACATTGACATGGAGGAGAAGACACAAAAGATTCTGTAGCGAGAATGATTTCATTACAATGTAGTCATCCAGTGGAAGAACCCATTAGAGATGAAATGACATGATAATCTGATAGACCTTAAAATTCGAAGAAACAAAACCAGTGAAAGAATTTTGGATGTTTTCATATGGAGTCATTGAACAAGCTTCGCAAGTTGGGAGGAAGGGGACACAGATAAGCTCGAACTTGGACCTGCGTAATTATACAAGCATGGTGTTCTCAAGAACTCAGCTTTAGCATTTGCATCAAGATGAAAGTATTACTAGCAGATCTAAAAAGTGACTGACGCTACATGATTAACAGAAACGAATTGCCTCAGTCTCTTTCATTTCAACACAATCGAGTGTTAATTAAAGACATACCAATTGTTCTTTTCAAGAGAGATTTGTCTTAATAAATGAATGAGACATACCAGAAGTTATAAGTTTTCCTTCAGCAATCTCTTGCAATCATTCTTCAACAGGAAATTAAGGAGAAGATTTGCAAATTAATGGAAATGCCCCTTACGGGAGTAAACTGTTTCTTGTGCATCTGCAGTTTGCTAACATTTTCTAAGAACCCTCATAGATTGGAGTTGGCAATATCCATAGTGGATTGTGTTATATGTAATGATAAATGTGTGAGTCGAGATAACATGCTGGAGAGGGAGTCAATTTGAAGTATGTTAAATCATATGCCGGTAAAGATTTAAATCTTGTCTCTACCAAACGTTCCTCAAGCCTCCAGCAAATGATCTTCAAGCTTATCCTCAATGAACTGTAAGATGAGGATATTAAGAGACATCTTAGTGGAAGAAGTTTCTTGTTGATATGTGACATAGTATGGAATCAACCATTGATGACAAAACCCGTATCATGTACGAAATATAAAGAAATTTTCAGTGTTATCACTCTGTGGACATTGAGGGTGTTTCATCATTTGTTCTCTTGTGTCAGCAGCAGGGTTGACGTCAGTTACCAATTGGTTCGCTTTGTTCATTGCATTTCCATTTACTATGCATTAAGTCGCGGAAACTAACTTTTTTCTTCTAATGGCATGATCTTGCAGCTGAATATGCGGAATAAGTCTGCTGCAGCTGAATGCTTCATACGAACTGAAATATGCCTGGAAGGTTCTTGATAGAATCAAGTTATATAATTAATTTTTGTCATAAGCTTCAGATATTTATTGTCAAGAAGCTTTGTTTTCATTGCTATTGTTTCATGTGCTTCACTCCCTATCTCAACACCACAACATTTTGGTTTTAAATGCCAACTAGCTCTAAATCTATGTAAATTTGGACCTTTTTGATGCTATCAACAGAAACATGACCTGCTTTATTGTCACATTTTGTGGCAAATTTTTTCATTGAGCCGTATTTTTTCCGCTATCATTTGCATAAGAAATTTGGGACTTTGATTTTTAATAAAATGAAAGTTGAGTTAACCTCGCCATTAAATGGGATGTGTGTCTAGTGCTTATCTTTCTCAAATTATTTCTACTTGACAATCACACTTTTAAAAATCTCTATTTTTTATGTTTCATATCATGAGCATTATCTTGTATAGAGCTACATTCTTCTGTAAGCCCCTAAGAGTATCTTTGATGTTTATGCAGAGCTTTTAGATGCCATACGGGAGAATGTTTCTGTGCTTACACTACTTGCAGAAGTTTTGTGCCTTTTAGACATGATTGTTAATTCATTTGCCCATAGCATATCTACTAAACCTGTTGATCGGTACTCTAGGCCACAATTTACAGGTAACTTCATGCACTGAATGTAACAACTAGATATACTAATCTGGTTGAAGCAGCTGGAAAATTGTTGACTGTGGTCACTTAACTGACAGAAAATGGTCCCTTGGCTGTAGATGCAGGAAGACACCCTATCCTGGAAAGCATACACAATGATTTTGTTGTATGTTAGTTTTTTTTTTTTTGAGGCATGACATTTGGTTATTTTTCTTTCTTTTACCGGTTGTACTCGGGGAATATATGCAAGGTTTTGGTTCCATTATCCTCTTCAAGCTATGCAGAGTTAATTAAACATTATCTATCTTATCTCTGGGCAGTCTAATAGTATCTTCCTTTCAGAGGCATCAAATATGGTGATTGTCACGGGTCCTAACATGTAAGAAACTCTCAACACAGTAACTCTGCTCTTTCATTCTAAAGGTTGTTTGTTCAAGCTATCCTATAGAGCTTCCCTTTACCGACCTTTTATTTAGAAGAAAATGCATTCTCCTACCATATTTTTGGATCTAGAAGCTACAGTCATATCTCTGCTAGGGCCCAACTTTGTAGGTCATGTCCGCTAGAATGTGTAAACGCAGATTCAAATTTGCTCTTTGGCATTAGAAAGAATTTTAGCCATCTAGGTGCAAAATCAAAGTAGGTTGGTTCATAAGATCAGATCGCTATTCATGAACGCCTATAATCATTGGCACTGACGTTATGTGTTTATCATTTTTCGGAGATATCCCTCTTAGAAGTTGCACTACACATATAAGTTTACAAGCCTAGCTCTGTAACTCACATGGCCTTAAGTACCCTTGCATGTACTAGTCTGAGGGCTATAGAAGATGTATCACCAAGCTGAAGTGCTTAAATCATGTAAACTCCAAGTACTCTTTCTAAAAGAGAAGGTAAGGTGAATGAATGAGGATTTGAGTCGAGGGAGGATGTCGGATCCTAAAGGAGCTCGTCTGACAGGCAATTCTACCAACTCTAGGCATGTAAAGAAATTTCAGCATGAAAGAATAGCCAAGTTTTATGCAAACTGACATAAGGGTTTAAGCATATTGTCGTGATATCTGAGCAACCTTAATGGAACACGTATAGACCATAAGCCTGTCAATTACAATTGTGAGTACAAATGTAACCATAGGCATCTCTTGCTATCTTCATGTGATTTTGATTTCCTGGGATCTGATTGCTATTTGTTTCCTGCTTTAAGATATAAGGGGGTAAACCAGGCAAGGTGTCTGGATAAAATGTTCGAGACACTATATATAAGTACTTGGAACTTGATCAAGCACTGCATTTTTCAGGAGTGGGAAGAGTACTTATCTTCAGCAAGTGTGCCTGATCATAATTCTTGCTCAGATTGGTTGCTATGTTCCTGCTCGTTTCTCAACTATAAAAGTCGTCGACCGTATATTCACTAGAATGGGTTCAATGGATAATTTGGAATCAAACTCTAGTACGGTATGTTTCAGTTCATTCAGATGATGTCTCTATAATGGTATGAACCAATCAGGCGCTGTGTGAAAAAACCTTCTCTGTAAATGGCTGCTTTTATCAAAAGTAGGTAAAATTTCAATCTAGTTTGATTATTTTGCAAGACAAAAATCTGTTACGCGTGGCTCTAGGGGTGGCAATTTTAGATACGACATGATTAACTAAGAGAAACCCAACTTTGACATGATATGAACAAGATTACAAAAGTGAAACGACTTGGCATGTTTACTTGTTTTATTAAAGTGATGCCCACATTAATCATACTGGACATAATTGAAGTTATTTCAATGACGACATGACATGATATGAAATGTGACACGATCACAATGACACAACACTCAATACCCCTAATTTCTTAGAGAAGTGGAATAGAATATATTATTTGATTTACTAATAAAATATGCAACAGAAAATATTCTACTAGAATTTGTTCTCAATATTTTACAATAGAATGGCTCCATTTTCAGAAAAACGTGAACTGCTACCATGTTTGCCTAAACTTGTGTTGTCCCTGATTGTTTGATGTGGCTTTTAAATGTTAATTTGAGTCCGTGCCTGCCTGAGAAAGGGGCTGTTAGAACCATTGTCTAGCCCTTCTGGATGTACTTAAGTATCCCATGATATGGCATGAATAGACATTTGATGCACGCCACTAGTACCTTCATCCAGGATGCAACATTAAAATATTACAAGTAGCCTATCTGGTTGGGTTTAGTTTCTTATGTCCATTAACTTAATTTAACATTACAGCTTTCAAAACAACCTCGTTTGTATGATCCATGTAAGATGTATAAAGTTAATCTTCCATGGAGAATGGCTGGCTCCTGTACAAGTTGTTGCTCGGTCCCCACATCATGTTAATGATTTTAAAGGCATTTTCAAGATAGAGTAAAAATTTTTACTTTGTTATATGTTCTGGTGGGAGAGAAACCAGGACAGAAGGATTGTGCTTTAGTACTTGCAGCAAAAGGAGAAGGGAGATAATATGTTACTGTATAATTTTTTGCCGTGAAAAATTGCACGAAAGCATCAACAAGCTGCTCATTTTACTATCTTAGAATAGAAATCTTTCTTACTTTAGTGGAAAGCATCATATTCTCAGTAAGTTCTGTTATTGCAGTTCATGACAGAGATGAAAGAGACTGCTTTTATTATGCAGAATCTCTCTCAAAGGTGATCTCATATTACTGTCGACGTTCATTTTGCTGCTCTTTTTTTCCCCATTTCCATATGATATGTTCAGGTGGGATTGTTGGTAGGAGTCTTATCATCATGGACGAACTTGGGAGGGCGACATCTTCATCTGATGGATTGGCCATTGCATGGAGCTGCTGTGAGTTTCTCCTATCAGTAAAAGCGTAAGCCTCAGAACTTTTCGGGGTAGCTATTTAAGGTTGCAAAGAAGATTTTTGATGGATGTCTACACTAAGTATTCACTTTCTCGGAGCCATTTTCATATTGTGGACTGTTCTTATGCTGTCTCTTCCACCTTTCATTGTCGAAGTGTGTATCTCTGTTTTTCAAAACTTGAAGTTTGATGTGCCTGGCTAGCACGTGTAAGCATCGTTTTATTGCGAAAGCACATTGAGATGGGTGACCGTACCTTAATCAGCTGACACCAGTAATTTTTGAATTTGCTGTAGAGATAATGAAAATACTCGTTCAATTTTTCGGATAAGCATCAGAGAACCAAGGAGTAAAAACTGTGCATCATAGGATGCCAATGGCCAAGTATAAATCACTGTTTCCGGATTGTTCCATATAAAACCCCTTAGTTGGGTTTTCTGAAATTAATGAGCCTATGATGCATGCTTACTCTGAATTTAGACAGATTCTGATTTTCAGTGATACTTTCCATGTTCTCCTGACGGAAAGAAAAAAGGATGACCACAGCTTTTCCGCTGAAACATGTCCTTCATTTCTCAGGTATACAATATTTGCTACTCACATGGAGAACCTGTCGGAATTAGCAACCATCTATCCAAATGTGAAAGTTCTGCATTTTCATGTTGACATAAATAGCAATCGCTTAGATTTCAAGGTGATATTTAAATCTACTCGAGGCTTGTTTGTTAAGTTAACATTAGATTAGCCAACTCCTTTACCTTTTTTCTTGGGCTAGTTTCAACTCAAGGATGGTCCGCGACGTGTACCGCACTATGGCCTTCTGTTAGCAGAAGTGGCAGGGCTACCAAGATCCGTGATTGATACAGCCAGAGGCATCACATCCAGGATCACACAAACGGTTCTTCAACTGATCTTCTTATTCATCATTGAAGTTGATTAGTCTTAATAAAATCTAGCCATTAGCATTCATTAGCAGTGGCTGGCCGTATCCCCATGGTTCGGTTTCACTGAAATTTTTCCCCGAGGAAATGAAAGTTGCCCTATTCTTTGCCTTGTATGTGGTTTGTAACGACTTTTACCTCTGTTTTTTATTTCATACTGGGATTGAAGTACTTATATATAAATAAAATGTTCAGGAACTGAAGAGAATGGAAGTGAACTATGAGCAATACAATGCTCTCCAGGTGGTGTACCGTGTAGCTCAGCGCTTGATATGCCTGAAGTACTCCAGTCAGGATGAGGCATCAATCAGGCAAGCACTGCAAAATCTCAAGGAAAGTTACCTACAGGGAAGAGTATAGTTTCTTGATAAGTCCGGAGACAGAGGACTTTCCAGTTGAGCTTGTTCGATTCATGGCATCCCTCAATTATGGAAGGTTTGCCGCTGTAAGCCCATGTTCTGCCTCATCCAGATATACTCTTTCACTCCACACGAGTTGCTTTCTGGTTTACTTTATCACGAGCATCTCTCTATTCATGTATTTTTCGAGGTACTAAAGTTGGATATGGTTTCCAATCAATTGACGTCGCAGAGGTGAGTTGGATTGGTAATCTTAGACAGGTTCCAGAGGAGGAGGACTGACCTAGTCCCGGCCTAGTCTCGATGTATCTTGATTATAGCCTAAACCCGTCCCAAACAGACATCAAGTTTTGAAAGTGAAACCTTAGACTTGACTCATTTATGCATACAGAATCTTCAAAAGCTTCCCGATTATGATCTCACACATACTGTTAGTCGAATAAATTGATTCTTTCATAAACACAAAACGAATTATGAACTATCCCAACTACCTAACAGCAAGCTTCACAACATTTTATTGCTGCACATGACAATGCCAAGACCCCAAGCCCGACGGGTGATACTCCATAATCACCCCTGCTGCAAAGAGCACGGTCTCGACCTACCGAAAAACTGAAAACTAATACTGATCTTGCGCGAGTAATGTTATTCACAGCCTACATACGCTGGATTGATCAAGGATCTCTGCTTAAAGGTGATGTGACAACCTTAATTGGTCGTCTTTTGACTTGACTATATCAACTGACTCCGTTAGATCGTGCGTAAAATGTTGGACAAAACTCGAGCATGATGCTAGTTGCTTTTCATAAGATCTTACCTAACTATAAAATCGTCGCGACTTGCCTACAATAGATGTTGAGGTCACCCGACTCCCATGTAGATTTTAACTCAGTACTGGTGGTCTTCGTATTCAAGACTTCACCATACTACACTTTCCTTTGGCAACTTGCTTATGTAAGTCGAGCAAAGTCTCGCTCAAAACAAACCTCCGACCCACCAGAGGACGAAAAACGAAAATCGGCTCCCGTTTGGGAGAGACTCGTTTCTATTAGGATGAAAGACAATTCCACGAGATGTGAAGCCGACCAACTAAGACTATCACCAACAGCTACAATCACACAATCCAAGTAATAAGGGAGGATTCGAATCGAGTACGCCAACATTTACGGGGAAATCCCTTTCTATTTAAAAGTTCAAAAACCACAAAACGACAGGGTCCATTGATCAACCTATCGGCCGAGAGTATAAAGAGTTCTAGCCACACTTCAAACTACGATGAACAGGAGTTTTCCCTTCTATAAGCCGAACTATAAAGGGGCATATTTTCCTACATTTTTGGTTGGAGTGAAATTTTCTCCAACCATGCTTTTAATTGGTGGGTTATAAACATCGATGTTACCCACTTTTGGTTTATTTAATTTTACATGTGGGAAGCATCTATGTAAAATTGGATAAAGCTCGCACGAGGTTGAGTTACGTGACACGCTCACGTGCGAGTTGTACCTAGTATTTGTTCTTTTATTGTCACTTTAGCAAATCTCTGATCCTAACAAATCTCTAATTCTTATGCATATTTGGGTAAATGTTTGAGAATAATTGCTTATGTATGTATACAATCTTTTACCTGCATATAATATATTCAAAAATAATAATTATTTATAACGAGGTTTTCAAAGAGTTCAACAGAGTGGGGACACATATCTCATATTCGACAACGATAAATTAATAGATTAATCTCATTTTGGGCTCATATTTGACAAACAAATAATTCTAAAATCAGTCTTGAGAAATGATAATATGAAATGATCAATCTCATATTGGACTCATATTTGACAATTTGATAATATTAAAAGATGTATAAAAACTGTGTAATCAAAAAAAAAATTTACTCGCATAATTGGGGAAAGAAAATTTTGTATCGTCAAACAAATTTATCTTGCTCTATGGTCTGAATTCCATCTTCTCAGTATGAACCATTAGATTTTACGGGCGTCATAAAACGAGGAATGTGAAGAAGATTGTGATAGTCTCTCTTGGTACCATACGTTACAACTAGACCTATTAAACAGGTAGGTTGGATCGGATTTGGGTCGGGTCATAAATAGTCCGACCCAAATTGATCCATTAACCCGTTTATGACTCATTTATTTGTAATGTAAATATCCCGACCCATACCCGACCCGACCCTTATTGCTAAAACACTTAATATAGGAAAACTTATTTCTTATGACTTTTTTTAAAAATTATACTACTAAAATATTTTCATACAATACAAAGTTAGTGAACTATTTTTATAATTTTTTTTTAAATTGAGATTTTGTTTGTTTCGCGAAAAATGCAACATTTTTATAATACATTTTTCATGAAGTTATTATCCAAGAAAATAAAAAAATTTCCAGTGTTTGGCTGAAGCCTAAAAATGAACTAGAAAATACTTTAGACATTTGCTATATAAAATTTGATTTGATTTTACTTCATGTATTCATTTTAATAATTTTAACATTTTTTTAAAATTCAATTTTTAATTATCTTTTGTTTTTATTTTCCTTTATTTTTGGCCGGTGGCCACCAGTGAGGACAAGCTCGCTGGAGGCCGGCAATAGCTCGAGCTCACCGATCTCGTGGCCTCGCTTAGGGCGAGCCTCGAGTGAGCCTCGGGCTCTGGCCGAGCGAGCCGAGCCGCAAGGCCGAGCCGAGCAAGCCAGCCTCGGGCAAGGCCGGAGCCTTGCCACAGGCCGGCGAGGTCGTTTCTCCCATCCACCGGCCGAAAATACAGAAAAAAATAAATAAATAAAAAGAGAAATAAATATAAATAACTTCAATTTTAGAAAATATATTTTTATAAAAAAGGATGGACTTAGGCTGCGAATGGTAACCATTCTATTTCAGAAATCAATTTCTATTCCTGGAGGATTTTCTTAGCAAAAAAGCACGTTTGATAACGATACAAGCTCACTTTGGTGCCAAAAGTTTCATTTGGATCATTTAAGTGCCAAAATTTTTGGCTTGATCACTTACGTGCCAACTCACAGTTGGTTTGGCCGGAAATCCGAACGTTACATTTTTTATTAATTTACAGAAGTCGATGTGGCTCATGGGAGATAGTCGGCATTTTTATTTTAAATAATTTTTTCTTTTCTTTCTTTTGTCCTTCTTTTCTTTTTTTTCTTTTCTTTCTTCTCCCTTTGGGGTCACCGCCGGTGACGGAGGCCCGGCACCGGCCGCCAGCCTGGGCGCCACGCAGGCGGGCGAAGGCCGCCAGCGGCCCGCCACGAGGCGAGCGTAGGTACCGACCCTCGCACGGCAGGCGACGGCAAGATGGTGGCTAGGTCGGCCTCGCCTCGCATGGGAGGTGGCGAGCCGGCGAGAAGGAGCGAGGCGGCGTCCGTAGCGGCGGGCCATCGTGGCTGGGCGACGGCCGGCCTCGCCGGATACGGCGAGGGAGCCCTCACCGGGCTCGCCCTCGCCATGCGAGGCAAGGCGACCTAGGCGAGGCTTGCCCGCCGTCGCCCAGCGAGGTCGGCGGCCTCGCTGTGGCTGGCGGCGGCCTCGTCCGGCGAGGCCAAGTGGCGGTGGCCGCCCGCGGTCACCGGCGGTGACCAAAGGGAGAAGAAAGAAAAGAAAAAAGAAAAGAAGAAAAAAAATCAAAAATTATTTAAAAAATCGAAATATATACGTGGAAATGCACGTAGACTAATTTTTTAAAAAAATCAAACTAAGATTAAAAATTTAATTATAAATGCCATGTATTAATTTGGGAATCTCTCGTCGTTGGCACCAAAGTGATCATTTTTCCTCCGATTTGGCACTTAAGTGATCCAAATGGAACTTTTAGCACCAAAGTGAGCCGTACACAACTTTGGAAATGGGTTCCACACTCAATTCTTCACCCCCATTTATGATGGACTTAAAACTTTAAGACCCATTTAAGATAGGCTCTTCAAAGTTGTATTGATCCATTTATTTTTTAAATGGGTTTTAAGACCTATTTAACAAGTGTAGTTACAACTTAGGTTCCGATCGGAAATGATTTTTTTTTATTCTATGCCCGGAAATAATTTCTAAGCATTTGAAGGCGTTTGGTAAGCGCCCAAATAGAAAAAGAACGTAAAAGCGTTTGGTAACTACAAAAAAATTTTTTTATTAATAATATTTTGAATTTTTTAATATTTCTTTCTTTTTTTCCTGTTTTTTTTCCTTTCTTTTCCTTGGCCATGGTCGCGGCCTTTGCCAGTCGCGACGGCGAGACCGACCTCGCCGTCGCCACCCCCGGCGAGGTCGGCCTCGCCGTCACCACCCCTGGCGAGGTTGGCCTCGCTAGATCACGCCAAGGCGAGGCCGACTTTGCCGTCGCCACCCCTGGCGACGGCAAGGCCGTGGCGACAGTGAGGTCGGCCTCGCCAGATCACGGCGAGGTTGAGCCTCACCTGGCCAAGGCGAGCCTGACCTTGCCGTCGCCACCCCCCGCAACGGCGAGGTCGGCCTCGCCATGGGCGGACGAGGCTCGGACCTCACCGTCGCCACTCCCCCACGACGGCGAGGTCGGCCCATCATGCCCAGTCGGGCAAGGCTCGACCTCGCCTGGGGATCGGCTAGGCCGACCTTGCCATGGTCGGCAAGGCTCGACCTCGCCTAGATCCGGGCAAGGTGACCACCGTCGTCGCCGGGGAGGTCGGCCTCGTTAGATCTAGGCAAGGCCGACCGGCGTGGGCAACCCTCGCGACACTCGGCCGGTCCGCCGGCGGGTCGGCGGTGGGGCGAGAAGAAGATGAAGAACAAATAAAAAGAAAGAAAAAAACCAAGAAGAATCAGTTCCGAAAAAATTATTCCAAAATCAAGAAACTACTTTTTTTTGCTTCTTGATTCTGTTCCAAAATTGATTCTGGGACCAATTTTTTGCAAAATTGTGCTCGGGCACAAAAACTTTAACAAACGGATTTCTGTTCCCAAACTGATTCTGGGAACAAAAGAACAGAAATTTTCACTATTTGGCACGTTGCCAAACGGGCCCTTAGTTTCTACATGCCATAGATCATCTTCTCTCCTATAAAAGTTGAAACTACCCTAGGCTTGGTATATTTCTTTCCTTCACTTAGAGAAAAATTTCAAATAAAAATCCCAAATGAGACCGTTTTCTCGAAATAGGGCCTAGAATGGACATTTTTCTCAAATAAGACCCTAAAGTGGCCTATCTAGTCTCAAATAAGACCCCTAGCTCCTCGGTCAGCCAAATCTTCACCAACTGGCAAACCTATGCTTCTCATGTGCATCTCATGTTAGATGCATAGAAGATGTACGTGCA